CTGCATAACTGATCTCGCTCCCTAACGTGAATGACAGTGGATAAGGTAAGACATGGGATACAGTAAGTCAAAGGTGGAGTAGGGTAAACACTCTGGTGAGGCCACCACCCCAGTTCTTCCTACGGGTGGTGGTTGAAAAAGAAAGTAGTAGCACCATATGTCAGAGTCCTCCACTCTTGTGTCTGATGTTTATACTGTCACATAGTCCCTTCACAATTTCGTAAAATATGGTTGGCAATAGTGTACATAACTTAGATTACCTAAATTGAGAGACCAATAGTTGTACAATTTTTACTGGCCTTGACATTCAGGAAAGTGTTATAGTTGCCTTTCTCCTCACCCTCTTTGTTTCCGTACACGGTTTCTCTGTCAACAGTTACAATCTCACTGTCAGGCCTGGCTACTCTCTGGCTTTTTCTGCCTTAGACTTCCTGATCAACAGGTCTTTCTCCACTGGCTTCTCCAGTTTCTCATTTCAGATGCACTCTAGCCGCCTTTTACAATGGTCCAGTTCAGCTCCGCTGTTCACCCAAACCAGGCTATGATGCTGTCAATTCTACCTCCCTTAGGAATGCAAACTCCTTACCCGGCTGGTGTGGCTTAGTGGATTGAGCATCACCCCATGGACTAAGAAGTCCTGGTTTGATTCTCAGTCAGGGCACATGCCTAGGTTGTGGGTTCAATTCCCCAGTGGGGGTTGTGCAGTAGGCAGCCCATTGATGTTTCTCTCACACATCGATGTTTCAACCTCTCTCTCCCTTCCTCTATCTCTAAAAAAAAAATCAACACAAATATATTTTAAAAATGCACAATCCATCAGGACAGGCCTCACGTCTGTCTTGAGCCATGGCATGTCTCAATGTTCAGAGCTGCACCAGCACATGGCAGCTCCCAGTAGAGGTATTTGCCAAGTAAATGAGTGGTGAATGACTGAATGAGATTACACTGGAAAGACACGGTCTCAGTTTCTTACAATTCAAAAGTTGTGCTTTCACACTTTTCTGGCAAAGTCCTAAGGCGCCCTGAAGGCCCTATGGGACTCTATGAATTGAGTTTTCGACACTGATTTGACCTAATCTTGCAGAGAGGTTTCTTCCATGACTGCAAAAAATGGTTTAGTTACGAGGACCAACAGAAACTGCTGGACCAAGCGTCCAAAGCCACAGTACAGTGAACTGTGCTGAACTATCCCCGCTCTTTAGCCTCCCCAGAGAAACCCTCTCTGGTAAGGGCTTGCCGATCACCGTGTCTGCACACCAACCAGAGACTCATGGCGGGAGAACCATTTCTTCCTCTGTGTTTGAATCCCTATCGATTCTGTAGTTGAGGGGGAATCTAAGTGCTTTCCAAATACTAAATGCCCCATATGGCAGTGTTATGACCACTGTCACTGCTGCGACCTCCGGCCCTGCCACCTGTACTCACGAGGTGCCTCACTGGAGTTCGGCAGAACATTCCAAACTCCTTTCCTGACTTATATTTGCTGACACATTTGCTGTTGTCCTTCCCTTTATAAAATTATTAATTTTGTTGAAACAACATGTATATGTGTATAAACACAAATTTCATTTTCTTATTCATTCTCATAATCATTTAGAGGAGAATATTTATGACCCAGTAAAGAGGAATTCTTAAGCTAAACTTTTTTTTTTTTTTAATCCTCACCTAGGACACTTTTGCATTTATCTTCAGATAGAGCGGGAGGGAGAGAGGGGGGAAGAGAGAGAGAGAAACATCGATGCGAGAAACATATGGACTCACCACCCACACAACACGAACTGCAACCCAGGTACAAACACGCCCTTAGCGGGAACCGAACCCGGGACTCTCTGGTCCATGGGCCGACACTCTAACCGCTGAGCCAAACCAGCCAGGACAAGCTAAACTTTCTTAATAAGGAATCCAGATGTTCCTCTTTTACTGAAAACTACAGAACTGTTCAAATTAAACTGAAAATGTGGGCCAGAATGGATGCAGCGTCTACATACAAAGAGCCGCAGAGTATCCAGAGAAAAGCATTGGCTGAAGCCAGACACACTGTCTTGTGTTTGTCTCCTTAATGCCAAGTGGTTCTTTGACCTTTTTTCCTTTTCCGACCTTGGGATGCAGCTAAAGGTCGAGGGACTTACAGCCCCATCGTTTTCCCCTTTGCATTTATGTATGATAAAGCACGTTTCCCACGAGTGGGGGTCTCGCATTCTCTTTCACACAGTTAGTGAAAGGAAGCTCAGGTAGTGATGGGGAAAGAGATGAGCCTAGTAGGGCAGCTCACACGTGAAGCGACAGTCACTCTGCCCGTGCAGCTCACAAAGGCCAGGGAGCTAGCCTGAGCCCAGGTACCGGCTGCACCTCAGGCGCAGGGCAGAGGGGTGTGGTCAGGTTCTGCTCCCAGGACCACAGGGGCCAGGCACAAGACACCTCTGTGATAAGTGGGTCTCTGAACTTGCAGACTTTGGTCAGGCCATTTCTCTAGGACTAGGATTACTCCATTAATCCAAATTCAAGGCCCTGGGAAATATACTAAACTTTTTTTGGATACCAGAGGGGGATGAAAACAAAGAAGAAGAAAGGGGAAAAAAAACAACATTTAATTGGGATTATACTATAGTCGGGGTCATACTTTGCTCTTTCTTTTTTTTTCTTTGTCTTGACCATTTTCTCATGTCATTGGATGTTCTTTGGATGTAGGATTGATAATGATTTTCAGTATTTCATATATATTTGCTTGCAACCACATCCTATGAAGTGGGTACTATTATTATCTAAATTTTATGAACTTAGACATTGAGATGGAAAGTAACTTGCCTGACATCACACCTCCAACACATAGCAGAGCTGGACTCTGAGCCCAGGCAGTCTGGAGCCTGGCACCTTCCTGCTGTGGTCTCCAGCCTCTGCTGAACACGGTGCTGCCGTCATGATGTCTAGTCATGCTCCTGATGTTGCGCAGGTGTGTGTGTGTATACACACACAAAGAGATATACACACATGTATATACACACCCATATACACGTTATTTCAACTAATGGGCAGTATAACCTCAGATCCATGCTTAGTGAAGGGTGTTTATTAAATATCTATTTATTTCTTTTTTTTTAATCCTCACTCGAGGACGTTTTTCCATTTTTTTGTTCAGATAGAGAGGGAGGGAGAGAGAGAAAGAAAGAGAGACAGAGAAACATCGACATGAAAGGGACACATCGAGTGGCTGCCACCTGCACGACCCAACCAGGGCCAGGGACAAACCGCAACTGCAGTACATGCCCTTAGCGGGAACCGAACCCGGGTCTCTCGGGACCGCAGGCCAACGCTCTAACCGCTGAGCCCAAATTGGCCAGGGCTCCTTTTTTTTTTTTTAAATCCTCACCTGAGGATATTCTTTCTACTGAATTTTAGAGAGAGTGGAAGGGAGGAAGGAAGAGAGACAGAGACAGAGAGAAACACTGATGTGAGAGAGACACAACAATTGATAGCCTCCCGCACGTGCCCTGACCAGGACCGGGAATCAAACCTGCAATCCAGGTATATGCCCTGCCTTGACCGGAAATCAAACCCGTGACCCTTTGGTGCACAGGCCAACACTCTGTCCACTGAGCCACACTAGCCAGGGCTAAATACCTATTTATTCTTATTTAAAAAAACAAAAACTATGTTTTCTAGTGAAAAAGTATTGCTATCCAACGATCTCATTGTTGTCTAAAATACTTTGCCATAAAAGGGGAAACACCTGACATTCCCTAGGATACTTCCATACCTTCCTGATTTAGTATTACTTCTCAAATGTCAAAAACTGGTAAGTTTCATGCATACTACTATCTATAGTGGGAAGGTTCTTAAAAACAGTATGATTTATAAATAGAGTGCCTCCCTCCCCTCAAAAACCACATGGAGATGCCATTTCTTATAATCAGTTGGCAAAAACGTTTTGTTTTCAAAATTTTCAGCACTGGTATAATTGTATGAAATAGGTACTCTTATACATTGCCTCTGGAAATATAAACTGGTATGACTTCACTGGAAAGTAATTTGGCAGCAAGTAGCAAAAGTCTTAAAACTTGAAAACTCTTAAATTCAGCAGTTTACTGCTAAGGAAGTATCCTAAGGACCATAAACACTGGCAACTAATATAGAGCTATAAGAATATTCTTGGTAATATCAAAGCAAAAAAAATTAGAAGCTAATTAAATGTCCAGAGAGAGCAGTTTGATTAAATGTATTTTAGGATATGCATTCAGTGGAATACTATATAATCATGAAAAATAATATTGCATATAAGTATCTGTTGCAATGAAAAGATATTCATTATTACATTAAGAGGAACAAAAATGTTAGATTAAGGTTGACAGGATATATTATATGGTTCCTTACTACCATCCGATGGTAGTCTTGCTAGCTGAATTTATAAACTAACCATCATCAGAATCATCCCTTTCTTTTTTTTTTTTTTTTATCCTCACATGAGAACATTTTTCAATATTTTGTTCAGATAGAGTGAGAGGGAGGGAGAGAGAGAGAGAGAGAGAAACATCGATGTGAAAGGGACACATCAAGTGGTTGCCACCCACATGACCCAACCAGGGCCGGGGACAAACTGCAACCGAGGTACGTGCCCTTAGCGGGAACCGAACCCGGGTCTCTCTGGACCGCAGGCCAATGCTCTAACCGCTGAGCCAAACCAGCCAGGGCGAATCATCCCTTTCTTATCAACAGCTTATCATCCACCTCAGTCAGTGATCTCAACATAAACAAAAGTAACTTTCTTTCCCATAAGTAAACAAGAGTTCCATTTTTATGAAAGAGACAAAGAATAAATAGGTGGAGAATATGTGAATCTACAGATGTATGTTTATGTTGTGTGTTGATAAGTGTGTGAGTGTGTGTGTGTGTGCGTGTGTGTGTGTGTGTGTAGGAGAACAGGTATATATACATCCCCACCGCTATCCTGGGGATTTACAATTAAATGGTAGTTATTTTTGGTTAAAGATCTGGGAGATATTTACCTGTACCATGTGCTTTCATCACAATGGAGACACATAAGCAGTCAGTTCCTTCCCAGTAGATCTTTTTACACGAATGTTGCTTGAGCAGAAAGGGTGGCAGTAGAAAACTCGCTGTAAAATGCCTAGACCTGTAAGTATAAAAACAATATTCAAACTGAGTGAGGAGTTTGCTGTGGCCTTCATTCACATTAACTGAAGTCAGAGAAAAAATAAACTCATTTCTCTCTCTCTCTCTCTCTCTCTCTCTCTCTCTCTCTCTCTCTCTCTCTCATACACACACACACACACACACACACCCTCTACAGGAGTGAGAGGGTTCCAGCCAGGGGTTGCTTCCCATTCCATCTTCTGACCTTAAAGGCATCACCAGCAAAATGAGCTTGTTCCTTCCTCTCCTTCCCTGCCTAATGATTCCAACACTTCAGAGAAATAAAAAATAGTTCTTCTCCAGAAAATTTCAGGAACATTGCTGAATTTGATACTAAGATTCCTTTTAGCCACAAAGTTAAGCAAATTCAATACATGTATTTACCTTAATAGCCTGACTTTCACTTTCAAAACTGTAATGCCCATTGATGACTCAGGTAAAGCATGGTATCATTGATAACTTTGTTCTTGGCACTGTGCTAATACTTCACACACATTACCCCACTCCATCACACCCTGTGAGGCTGCTAGTAATCATTATTCTCTCTAGTACTAACTGAAAAACAACAGATGGACAGCTCGCAGATGTTAAAGCCAGTGTTTAAGCCAATATAGTTCACAGAGGCTATGCTCATAATTCCAGTACTGTCCCACCTCTCCAAAATTGATCTTGCTCTCAACACACCTGTGCTTACTGTAAAAAGTTAAACATCAAATTGGCATCATCTGATTCTCCCTCAGAGTTGACTAAAGTGTCACCTACAGCTTAGCATTGCTCTCTTTGGATATGATTGTCCTTTGATTGTAATTCCCACGCCAAACTGAAATCAACATGTTCATATTACAACGCAGGGTAAATTTCTAGTTAGTTTAGTAAATTAAAAACATCAACTAATCCCAAATCCAGGTGCCAACGCACTGAGGAAAAACCTAAAATCCAAGTCCTACCTAAACGGTTAAATTTTATTAGGAAAAGGTCAGAAAATAAAATCAAGAGCCATATGTAACTCCCTAACTTAAGATACCAAAATAGTGAGAGAAATCGCTATATATTATAATACGTCCATGTTGTAAAACATATGTGTTTACCTATTTACAAGTTCTATACACTATATATAGGTCTTAGAATCACTGCAACACAAAATAGATGTGAGTATATTAAGACGCCAATAAAATTATTACTGGGTCACATGTTGATTTCCCTTTTGTACACCTGTATATATGTAGGTATGTATGTACACTGTTCTGATGATGCCCCTGGGCCTTTGTGCATGCTATGCCCTGATTAGCATAGTTTTGATTAGCATACTTGTCCACTGAGCTCAGATTCTTAACATGGTCCCCAGGCTAAGTGTAGTTCAGCCCTCATGTTCTTTTCCAGCCTGCACTCCTGCTTTTCTGCCTTACTGTTAAGTACTTAAAAGCACTTTGCCCTCCTAGGCCTCGTTGCCAAGACTTCTTCCCAAGTCACCCACCTCTTTCATCAAATGACCTTGTATCGTTTCTCCTTCGGCTCTCAGCTCAGTCCTGTTCTCCTCAGGGGAGCCTTTCCCCGCCTCCTCGGCCAGGTTACTAGCTCCTCCTACATTTTACAGAACCATTTTCCTGTGTTATACTGCTCACCTTTGAGGTTTTACATTTTTGTTAGATTCACTGATTAAGCGTGTTTCCCCCACTAATTAGTCCGCTCTAGGAAGGCCGAACGTGTGTGCTCTTGTCTACCCTTATATCCTCAACATTCAACACAATGCTTGGCACACTACGGGCACCCAATAAAAAGCCGCTGAAGGAATAAATGAGGGAGGCAGGGAGGGAGGGAGCCAGGGAGGGAGGAACAACCCTTATCATAATTAGTGTTTGTTGAATTAATCTGCTGATGGATTTTCACAGAGTACAAAGTCTGCATTCCTTTGAGCAGCACGCAAGGCTCTAGTGGCCGGACCCTGCCAGCCATGTCACTCCTCCAGCTGCACTTGACACTCAGCACCTCTGAATCACTGCAGCTCCTGACCCGCCCTGCCTTGCTTGCACCCGTCCTGTCTCCACACCCCGCTCTACTCCGTCCCGCTGCACAGCACTTCTTCCCAAACTCATTCTTCACGTCTCAGAGTGAGGGCTGTTTCTCTGCAAAGCCCTCTCCGATACCTTCTGGGAAGCTGAGGCCCTCTTCTTCCAGTTTCCTACAACACTCTGTACTTATCCCCATAAAAGCAATTATCATGTTTTCTTGCCCTTGTGTTTTAAGCAAGTTCAGCTCTCTCAATCCATCTTAAGTCCCTTAAAGGCAAGGGAGGGGGACTGTCTCATTACACTATCCCCAGAGTTTTAGCACAGCAGCCTAGAACATGAATAGCCAATAAATAACTATCTGATGAATGAAAAGAAGCTATATATACACACATACATGTTATCGATCATACATACATATTTCATGTGTGCAAAGCTCTACAGCTGACTATTTAAAGTATATGAATATAGTAAGTTTTAATTATTATTAAATATAATGAAGCATAATGGTTATAAATTTGTCTATAAAATGGGGATGACACCTACCTCACAGAGCAGTTGGGACAATTATTTCATATATAAGTAAAATGCTTAGCACAGAGCCCAGCACACTGGAAGTTATGTTGAATTTATAATTTACGCTTCAAATTTAACAGTTTTATTTTATAATATTTTCCCTATTAAATAATTAATTAATATTAGTATCTCTGTAAAGCCATTAAAATGGCTAAAGAGGCACTCAGCAAACCAAGGATAGCAGCAAGTCTTACTGACTACAGCTGAAGGACAAACCATTGTTTCAGTCATCTTCAGTGTATGTGTTGAGGTACAAAGCATCAACAGAGAAGATGTATATTGCTATTAAAAAATTCTCTATAAAATCTAAATGCCAGAAATACCAAATATTATCATTCAAATGTCATAAATGTTTAGCTTAAATAATTAGAAGTGTTTTGTGCACATTAATTCTTTTGCTAAAAAAAACAAGATGGAGATACATATTCATTTCTTTTAATGAATGGTCAGAGTAATATAACTTATAAATAAATATTATGTATTTGTCTAATTAATATGCCATAAAGTGTTTGAATTAATAGCAAACACATTTCACATGTCATCCATTAGATGCTATTTTGATTCAGAGTTGTCGAAATTTAATGAAATGAACTTATGCAAAGGGGGAAAAAGAGGCAAGACAATTGTGCAACAATATTTTTTCTTTTGGAAAAAATAATGTAAGAACGAATTGTTTATAAATGCCACCAATGTACAGTTGAGCAGAATGAATGGGTAGTAATTTAGTCTACAAAGCAAACTTATAATTTGGTCCTATATTGCTCTTCTTTACACACTGGCCAAATTTAAATAATGACTATAATATACTTTGTGCTGTTGAAAGATAGGGTACTATCATTACTGCATTTTGAGATTTCTATTTTCAATTCATCTTTACCTTTCTGATAACTGATAAAACCCAAAGCAAGTCAGATTTCTAAGGAGCTTAACCATTTCCTGAGAAGTATGAGAGCTACAGAGGGGAAATATTATGAAAATGCTAAATTCTTAACTTCTAATTGTTTTACCACTAGAACATTACAGTGTGTTTAAACCAAATTACAGTTCTATTCATTGGCCACACCACTGACCAGTTTATTGCAAATATATTGTTCTCTGCAACGTAATTAAGATGCAAAGGTAGGGCAAATTTAGCCCCCCCAAAAGTCTTATTTATTTAGATAATATTTTATCAAAATTTAGTATTAATCTCATGAGAATGCTAATGTGTGTGTCATAAAATCTGGTGAAATCTACAAATATAAAGCAATATTCCTCTTTCTTTATGCTGATCCCTCGATCTGAAATGTCCTTCTCACTCATTCAAATGGTACTCTTCCTTTAAGATTCAGCTCAGATGTCCTTTCCTCTGTGAAATGCTCCATGTTTATTGTATTTATCCTGCTGTCTAATGATCTGTTTCCTTCTCCAGACTGTGGGCTCCTTAGAGTCAATGACCAGGTCTCTGCATTTTTCATAACCACCTACACAGTTCTTTGCACATAAAATATTCTCAGTAAATACTGGTCCCATGTGTCAATGAATACATACACTTTGATGCTCTTAAGACTAAGGTGAAGAAAATGCCACTCTTAAGACTTAAGGTGAAGAAAATGCCACTAATAATGATCTAAAGTTAAAGGTTAAAGTAAAAAAAAATTTCCATTTTTAGTGAAATGAAACTCTTAGCTTTTTCACTTCCAGATGCATCAGCATTACATAAAAGATGTTGAAACTATTTCGGAAAATAGACATGCTGCACATTTTCCTGTCTGAGAATTAGTCTGAAAAATACCAGCTACACAGGGGCCTCTGGGTATTCTCATGACAAACATTCAGTTAGGTATTGATTCCACACACTCATTTAATGGAAATCGAGACCGAGACTCAGCCTCCACAACACCAGCACACCAGGCATTATTCTTTAGCTGCTTAAGAATAAGATGATGGTTCCCAGGAGAGGTGTGCCCGCCCCTCCCAGTACTGGCCAGCACTTCAGTGATGATGAATCTTAGTGGCAGAGAACTTCAGTACTCAAAGAAACACACACCAGTGCCGGATGATGTTTTCCACTTTTATTGTAATTCTTATTCCCACATGGACCACTTTCTCACGTATCTACTTTTCATTTTTCAAAACCAAACCTTTGAGCCTGTGACAACTTGCCTGGCTGAGTAATATATTACATCATCATCCACATGCCAAATCCTACCTCACTCAAAAGGCCAGAAGAGAACAGTGGGCAGCAAACGAACAAGTTTCTCATCATAACCTATCCAGGCTGATCGTCCACATGCAAAACTATTAGTCACTGTTGGGACAATAAATATGGATTTTCCGAGAGGTCAGCAAGCCTTTCTTCATGGCCCTCTTTCATCCATGCCCCACAATTTTCTAGGCGTTCAGTAGAGAGGAATAC